ATAGTTCTGTGCCATCATATTTGAAAGGTTCTGTATACCATACTTTTCTGAAGCAGAGGCCTTAGTGTATGTATGTCCATCATCATCCCTCTTTTATAGAACCGAGACCACCTCACCTTCCTTATTCCAGAACAGAGCATACATTTACCACTGAGGTACTTGGCAATGACCTAAGCATTTGGACACTAGGGCTTGAGGTGGAGTGTTTGTCACTTTGTTGGGGTAGAGATGGTCTGCTGGTATCCTAGAGAACAGTATTAATTATGGAGCATTACCTCCATCAGTCTCATAACCCCAAATCTTCAGCTGGAAGGTCTTCTCAATGGTCCAGCATCCAAGGGGATTCACTTGATCTGTTGGGCAGAGATAGTTCAAGTGCAGGGAACATATGATGGGAACTGAGTCTCACATGTCTCAAGACATACAATCCAATTCTTTTTGGAGGTTTTCCTTGATAATAGCTATGCCCCAGAAAACCATCTTGTTTAACCAGTGTGATAAGTTGACAATGTAGTTTTCCTCTCTGATTATAATGTGCTCTGTGTAGTCAATACACTAGTACCATGTGAGTGTAATTTCCTCTTTTATTTGATCTCCAATGCACTGTATTATAAATAAACAGTTAAAAAAAAACACCAAACAAATCTGTTGCATTTCCTTTTAAGATTGTACCACTGTAGACACTTGTTCTAGTAAAGTAGAATTGGGCACATTTGATTGCATTTAAATTTTTCATGCTTCAGCAGTTTGGCTGGGAGCACAGCAAAGAAAAATCCCATGAGCGAGGAGAGTTGAGAATAATAGAACTTGATTTTGTGTATTATAGCGGCAACATTTGCGCTGCTTTAGTAGGGTTGTGTCAGCACTTCCATTATAAACCCCTGTTTTCAGGGGCTTTAACTAGGAAGATTTTTTTTAATACAAATTAAAAAAAACAATTCATTCGAATGATTTTTAAGTTATAATAGAGCAAAAATAAAACAAAGTAAAGTCACATAGAAATTGACCATTTTCTAAAGGATTTTGATTTTTCGTTGCTTGTTAGTTGTGTGGGATGTAGCTAGGTAAGGTGCTACCTAACGTATGGGGGTGGAGTATGGGGGAACACTGTTGTAATGGATAGTATATAAGTGTATTCAAACAAGTGTGAGAATTCACACACAAAGCTGGCAAACCGTAACTAACAAGGTATATTTGATTCATGGATTCCTAAAGCAGGTGACTGGCGTAGAGTGGTGGGATCCAGGGTATCACCAAAGTCAGGAGTGTGCTTCCTAGAGTACAGCTCAGTGGCTGTAGGAAAGTGTGTCAAGGAGGACTGCTAGGACGCAGAAGAGTGCCTAGGTGAAGTTACTCACAAGTGCTTGCTGTGCAAACCTGACAAGAGTTCAGTTCCCAGAACCCACTCCTGAAAGTTGTCCTCTGGCCTCCACATACACTACTTGGCAAGTGGCCTCTTGTGTCTCTGATGCCTCCTCTGCCCCCATATTAAAAACAAACAATAAGAAAGGGTAATACTAAAGAAAGAAATGAATGAGGACACAATCAGTTCAATTGAAGACTGTATAACAATTTATGTGTAAAAATTAGTAAACCTGATCCAGTAGTAATCTATGATTTATTTAATAAACTATGTGACAGTAAGATGGCTCTGCAGATAAAAGAGCTTGCAGCTAAGAGGACAGCCTCAGTTCAATCCCTAGGACCTATATAGTCAAAGGAGAGAACCTGCTCCGGCAAGTCGTTTGCTGGCCTCCATGTGTACATGCCCATGTGTGCATGCCTGCACACACATGTACATGCACTGGTGCAAATATAACAATGAAAAAAATCTATGCACTAAAAATAAGTTGTGTGTATATTTGTATAAAAAATAAACAACTATCACTTAGTAGAGTGATTCTCAACCTGTGGGTTACAAGCCCATTGGGTAGCATACCAAACATCCTGCATATCAGATATTTACAATACAATTCATAGCAGTAGCAAAATTATATATATAATTTTATATATATTATATATAGTTATGAAATATTAATGAAATAATTTTATGGTTGGGGTCACCACAGCATGAGGAACTGTGTTGAATTGCATTAGGTTGAGAACCATTGTCCTAGACTAATATAACACAACAAAGCTACTGTTGAGAACTGAAATAGCTCAACTATTTTATCAAAAGGAAATACCTTGATGAGTTTTCTTTTCCTCTGTGGACAATATAGCTCAGAGTGCTAATAAAACAAGCCCAGAGAAGGATGTAAAGTATGATCTGAGAAGTGCTCTTGGACCACAACATGTCGACCTTCTTACTAAGGCATGGACCCGGGAGCCAGGTGTATTTTCCTGGTTCTCTTACCTCCCCACTCCTCTGCCTGGTTATGGAGCTGAGGATGAACAGTCGGCCTTAATATATTGACAGCCGAGCTGGTATTTGCAACCTTGATACACATTTGTGTTTGTGGGTGTAAAATAAAAGACAGCTTGTGTGCCACTGTAAATAGGCTTCTGATGGGTCACTGGAGGGTTCACCAGAAGCCTGCTGATGAAGGAGAGGTGAGGCCTCTCCCCACTAATTGTATTCAGCGTGTAATTTCTAAACTTCCCTCTGAATTTTGATTTTCAATTAACACTCCCCATTTGAAGATAATTTTCTATTTAATGTAATTGCAGGAAATAATTTATTGGCTGATTAAGACTGAGGGCCCAGCCTTCCTTAAGAAAAACACTCACCAACCAGCCTTTAAACTCAACTCATAGCTTTGGACAGATTGAGTCTATTTTTACAGCTGCAGAGTTGTTTAATGAGGATCGTACACCATTGTTAACCAGTATAGTCTGTCGTCAAAATGATTCTTAAGAGACTGTTTACACTTTGCGTATTGTGTCATGATTAATTTATACTAAAGCGATAATCACAGATACTGCTACTGGAAGGCACCAGATTACTTTATAATAAGAGGCTGCTTGTTGGGAGAACTGAAGTCACTCTGAGTTTTGGATTATGACTTTTTTCTTCACTTGTATTGAACTGTTTCTGAAAGGTGACAGTCAACTCATTCATTCATTTTTAATGTGTGTGATTACATTAGGGCTAACTGCCCATTATCTGAACAATGCAAACACTCTTGCTGCCTGGGACCGATGCTTGATCACTTACAGGACAGTTATAATTGCCTGGTTTTTCAGTGGTATTTCTGGGGCAGTACAGTAGGTTCTGTAGTGACTTTCAATACTGAGACACATCCATTGGTTATGATTCTCCATGTGTGCATGTATGTGCCCATTTGTTAGCACCAACAGGGTCACTTGAGAATGTGAGTCTTTGAAGCTATGGTCTTTAGAACATTCAGTTTCTCTCTTTTTAGGGTTATAGAGCTATTCATCTGCACACTGTCCCTATTGTATTTTCTAGTCTCATCTAAATAGATGAAAGTTTTAGTATTTGTACAATGATTATTATAAGTAGGTATCAGCTTTTTAATATATTTCAAAGCACTTCAAAAGCCTATAATACTTTTATTTAGAACTGTGCATAATTAGTTTAGCTGATCTTCTATTAATGTTTTTCACTGTAGGATACTAACTCCGAGCCCCCTCATTAATTGTGAGAAATTTAGCATTAGCTGTTAAATCCTATGTGAAACATGGGCTGCTACATAAAAACTACTGTTTAAATTGGAATTAACTTAATTATTTTTCCTTGCACTTGATATTTCCTTCACTGCAATATTCATGAAAGCATGTGACAGATTTGTAAATTTAACTGTTAATCTCAGATTTCTAGACCCTTTAATCAGTATTTATTTGTCTGTAGAAACAGTACAGGCAAGTTAATGATTTGCTAATTTGAAAAATGCTCATGTGTTTCCCTATGTTAACTGATTTGTGCATTTAAAAATGGTATGAAATCAATTAATGTTAAAGAGCAATTAAGGTGGCGATTGTATTCCTTCCATTACACAGCAGTTTCAAAGGAAATACAATAAATAAAAATCAACACGAAGTTTTAGGGGGAAATGGTTTCTTTCATTAATCTGTAAACTTTTAGTGATTTGGTCACTAACCCCTTTACTAAGAGATTCATCTTTCTAAAGTGATGTTCTCAGAGCTTGATATTTTGTATGACATCATGGTTTTTCATCTGAAACACAAAATGAAGACCCCACTACACAGTCCTTTGATGGGTTCTTTGTGAAGGCTTCTATTCATGACATAGACTTTAATCTTTAGTATGCAGAGTAGGCATTTTATTTTTTCATAGTAAATGCTATGAATCATGTGCATACTTTCTGACATGAAATGCAGGTATAATTATTTCAGAAACTCAACTCAAATGCCACAAAGTTGCTATAAGATTTATCTGACACTAGAAGCCATTCAGTCAACATGACACTTAAAAGTTAAGAAGCAATTCTTAATCTGTCTGGGAGGTCTTCAGAAAAGCTTCAGATAGGCCATTGGTATATGGTCTACCACTAATAGTCAAGATTTAAGATAGGAAGTCATTACCAGTGTGCTTAGCATATTAAGGACAAATTATTTAATCAATTTGTATTTTTTTTTTTACATAGGCTTACTTTTTCCTTTCAGTGCTCTGTGAGAAAGTTCGATATTCTTTCTCTGAGGACTTCTGAGTGGCTCATTGGCCCATTCACCCACTCACTCCTTCTTTTCATTGCTAACCACCAACCCTAGTACCTTCGCCACCAGAAACTCATAATCTAGTAGGAAAACCTGGAGGAAGGGCATACAGATACATACATTGTACATCATGAAATCTTATAAAGATCAGATTTGAAGATTGTGTAAAGGAAAATATGCAGCAGTTAGGGGGAAGAGGCAAAGAAGAGGGTAACAGAGAAGCCAACAGTCCTTTGTAGTTTAGACTGTCAATTTCTCTGTTTCAAGGATTTTTATTTTTTCTCACATTAGTCAAATACAATAGCTTCTAATTTGTTTGTGAGAGCCCTCTAATCCATGGTGTTTCCCGTCTTCTGCAGAAGAATGTCTTCCAAGCAAGCCACCTCTCCATTTGCCTGTACAGCGGATGGAGAGGAAACAATGACCCAGGATTTGACCTCAAGGGAAAAAGAAGAGGGCAGTGATCAACACCCGGCCTCCCATTTGCCTCTGCACCCCATAATGCACAACAAACCTCACTCTGAGGAGCTACCGACGCTTGTCAGTACCATTCAACAAGATGCTGACTGGGACAGCGTTCTGTCATCTCAGCAAAGAATGGTGAGCACTGAAAGTCTGGTGGCTGCTACCAGTGGTGTCTACATCCTCATCATTAGGAGATGTTTAAGGAAAACTAAAATACATGGCTTCAGAATGTTCTTCGTTAGGCTAAGGCTACAACATAAACATGAGGCATACAGTTGTTATTATTCTGATAACTGGGAAAACTTGGAAAACAGTTGGTGATCTAGGTTATGGCCATCATTAGGTCTGCTTGACAAAAGAATATTGATTTACTTTTTAAACAAGGAGAGTCAGTTATCTTATACTTTCTATTCTAATTTAATGTGATTAATTTAGTAATGTCACAAAATAGGTATTCGAATGAAGTGTGACTGTGTATTAATATTGAAAAATTAAGTTAAGCAAATATGTCCATGTGAATGGAGATCATAGCATGACTACATTTTCAATAAGGAAATGCCTATATCTATCATTTTAAATTAAAAGTCATGTGCCTATATATTAATATCAAAGAAACATTCAAGACTCCTGCATACCATCCAATCAGACCACACAGGTTTTCTCTAAAAGCAGAAACAACATGCCAAGTGATGCAGGAGTAGGCAGCTTTCCTATGGTAAATTCTATCTTCTAAACATCAAAACAGAAACCTCAGGAGGGACATTAATTATCTAGTCCCAAACAAAAATCTTCATTTTTTTAATCATCCAGAAGAAACCAGAACCTTAATATGTCTTAACCCTAGCTTGTATTTTTTAACTTTTGGGTGACCAGAAATTAAGTTAGTAAAAAAATCTTAAGTAGACAATGAGAATTTTATTCCTAAACAAAAAACAAGGTATAATTTTAAACACCTTTGTTAACAAATGAACATATTGACATAAGTAACTTGCAGAGGGATAAAGATTGTTTATAGGCGTGGAGAGGGAATCAAAAGATGAATGGAGCATGTCTCAAATAATTTTAGTTTTATTCCATGATTCATAGACTTTATTTACTTAGCACATCTTAATTATACAGATTAACGAATTTCATTATGACATTTTCATAGTGCATATAGTACTTTTATTACAATTTCCTGTTCTTCTACCATTTCTTAAACATCCCCTTCCTCTCCTTTTTCTATTCTAATTTCCTAATAGTCCTTTTAGGTCAATGTTTCTCTCTCCCACAATACTCAACTTAAATTTCCTATAAGGGGGAAACTTGCCTTTGTGTATTTGACTTACTTCACTTAACATGATGATCTCCAGATTTTCTTGCAAGTGACATCATTTTGTCCTTTTATACATGGGGAATCAAGAGTGAACCGTTTTCTGGGCTGGGGATTTATCTTCCAGGAGAAAGGGAAGGCAAATATATATTGAGGCAGAAATGGAGAACATTTTCTGATTGAATTTAACTTGTTCATTCCATGTCTGCATGGCTGAGATGAATATCCACTCTCTGCTCTTTGCTCATAGGCAGGATAATTGAGACTCTGCTTGGTCTTTATTTGAACAAATATTTATGGAACACCTTATGGATGCCACACATTCCATAACTCCAGCTGTATTATGGTGAAGCAGATGTGACGCCTGCCTGCCTGCCTGGAGGTTGTGTTCTTGGACAGGGGACAGACATGCAAATACATATATAGTTAAAGTTGTGTGTACTATGCAGAAGATCAGAATGTTGTCTGAAAGCACAATGAGGCAAACCTAACTTTGAATAGATGGATAGGATGCCCTCTCCAACCAAGGATGACAGAAAGTAGTCAGAGTAGGGCAAAGAATAAATCCATGGAGAGAACAGCATGTATGGAGTGTCTGAGGTGATAAACCCAGAACTTAAGGAAATGAAAGATGGTATTTGTAGTCAGAAGATAACGAATGAAGATACATCAGATGTGGTTGGAAAAAATAGATAGGAGCCATATCATACAGGCCTTGGAGATGTCATTGTGGAGGTGAGATTTGATCTGAGTGCAGTGGGAACAGCCTTTGAAGGGCTGAAGAAGGTTTCTCACAGATAATTCCAGCTGTGGCACAGTGAATGGATGGGTGGGCAACAAGAGTGAAAGGATGGGCCCTGGGGTTTCTGCTTCAGAAATCTAGATGAAAGATTACAGTGACTTGGATTAGTGTAAACAAAGAACGGGACACAGAGAGGGACTGGCTCAAGATAGTTGTGCTTTGATGCCATGTGCAGGCCTGATCAAATAAAAGTAGCTGGACTGGAAATGTATGGGGAGAGGCAGGGACAATATACTTCAAGTTCTATTTTTTTCTGAGGACACTTTCCTTATTTTTCTAAGAAAAACTTTATTTTTGGCAAGTGCTAAGTTGCTTTGCGAAATTAGTCTGAAATTTTTGTTATGCAGAACTTGTCAAAAAATAGATACTAATGTATATGTAATAATTTATGCTACACATGATTTATGGTAGTATAAGGTTGCAAACATGTTATAGATTAGTGTGAAAGAGACCATTCTCATAGAAATGTTTCCAAACTTTAGCTATGCTTTCTGTTGAAGCTTTTGTGTTCTCCAAATGCTGGAAAGCCAAAATATTTGTTTAACTCCCACTCTATAGCATTTCCCAGCTGTGTACTTACATGATGCAATAAAAGGATTTAACAAATGGGAAATAGCAGCTGCATGTGGAAACTTTCTTTTTGTTTTCTCTTCACCAGATAGAGTCAACAACATGGCAACTGTAGCCTCAGACCTGAACTGACCTAGGCTACAGATCAGGTCACCAGGCAGCTTCTGTTTCTTGTAAAGAAAAACAATGGAAGGATTTTATGTTCCTGCCAGACCTTCAAATGTGTGTGCGTGTTTGTATAGTGTGTGTGAGTGTGTGTGTTTGTGTGGAGTGTGTGTTTGTATAGTGTGTGTGTTTGTGTGGAGTGTGTGTGTGT